TGGATCCGTCTGGACGAAACGCCTATACGATACAAAATGTATGCATATACAGCTAAACGCGTCTCCATGTGGACGGGGCCTTAAGCTGGCTAGTGTGACCCTTAATCAGTTTTTTTCATACAGATTCGGGTTTTAATTTTTTTTTTGCAACAGGATAGTCTTATACTGTACACCACTGCTTTTAAGTTTTAGATTAAATTTTTTTTTTTAATGAAATTAGAAATGTTATTTTTGCAAGGATACATTAAGTTGATCAAAAGTTACAGTAAACAGTTTTACATTTGTTACAAAATATATTCATAATTTCCACAAAATTAAACAGCACGACTGTTTTCAACATTGATAATAAGAAATGCTTCTGCTGAAAATTCAGCTTTGCCATCACTGGAATAAATTACATTTTGAAATACATTAAAATAAAAAATTTCAATTGGAATAATATTTCACAGTATTACTGTTTTCCCCTGCAAAGAAATGCAGCCTTGATAAGCATAAGAGACTTCTTTCAAAAACACTAAAAAAATCTTAGACCAACCAATCTTATACCAGTGAGTTCATCCAGTGAAAGACTATTCATACCCATTAAAAACTGGCTTTAGTAGTCTTTTTGACCAATTTACAAAAATAATCAAGTAATTTGTTCATAAATCAGACAATTCTGCCGCATATTGAAAGATATTTTTGCAGCCAGTGAAGACAATGAATGGAGAGACGTGTTGTCTTGACAGCATTCAGCTGCTGCTTTTGAATAGTTTTCACACTCACTTAGGATTTAAAGTATTCAGAATCTGTTACTTTTAAGTTCATTTTGATAAACAAGATGTCTGGCTGAACACAGTTACTTCACAAACTCTTGTGTAATGTTCAGTGGAACAGTCCCTGCTGATCTCTTCTGATTGTTACATTGTGACATTAACAGGGGTCATCAAATGTAAGATGTCACAAACATTACTCAGGTTTTTTAAACAAGTTCATCCTCAGTGCTTCAGAATATCAGCTATCATATGATCACGATATGATAGGATGTTTTGAAACTGATTAATGTTCCTTCATTTCCTGTGAAATTTGTTTGCAAATATCAGCTTATCTACCCAGTCAGCATTTTTATGATGACCAGTTGTAGACTGTAATGTTTAGTGTACAGTATTGTCTGTCCTTATTTTACTTCACTTTTTTGTGTGACTATAAAGCAATCGTCAGCGTAAGTTATTTTAAATGAGTGATGCATGTGACAAAATTTGCTTGTTTTGAATGCAATAATAGAGAGGTTATTACAGGACACACTCAGAGTTCATTGACTTCATGCCTAGATGTCTCTTTACTTGATACTCTATATTATTCTTTAGTTTTCACTTCACTCTAGGGTTTTGATGGTGAGGAAATTTTCCCACCGGTTAATCGACGTGTGACAACACCGGTAATACCGGTATCACCGTGGGGGGCGGGGGCGTTCCCTCTTTTTGTCGCTTTTAAATAGCTTGTAAAAGCGGCATGCCATTTTACTTTCACTTTCAAATAGCGGCAATTCGGCGTAAAGCAATTGTTCGTTTTTAGTTCGTTTGAATTTTCACTATTTTCCTCGCTTTCCTTCGCTT